TTTTTACGATTAGGTTTTACATCTACAAATCTATAAATTCTGGAATGAGAGCATGGACGCTTCCGGAACGAATGCGATAGTCCAAGACTTCCAGGCATGAAGCTCAAAATAATACCCATTAGAAGCTTAGACTGGGATAGATATAGATATAGGATATAGATATAGATATAGATATAGATATAGCTATAGATATAGATATAGATATAGATATAGATATAGATATAGATATAGATATAGATATAGATATAGATATAGATATAGATATAGATATAGATATAGATATAGATATAGATATAGATATAGATATAGATATAGATATAGATATAGATATAGATATAGATATAGATATAGATATAGATATAGATATAGATATAGATATAGATATAGATATAGATATAGATATAGATATAGATATAGATATAGATATAGATATAGATATAGATATAGATATAGATATAGATATAGATATAGATATAGATATAGATATAGATATAGATATAGATATAGATATAGATATAGATATAGATATAGATATAGATATAGATATAGATATAGATATAGATATAGATATAGATATAGATATAGATATAGATATAGATATAGATATAGATATAGATATAGATATAGATATAGATATAGATATAGATATAGATATAGATATAGATATAGATATAGATATAGATATAGATATAGATATAGATATAGATATAGATATAGATATAGATATAGATATAGATATAGATATAGATATAGATATAGATATAGATATAGATATAGATATAGATATAGATATAGATATAGATATAGATATAGATATAGATATAGATATAGATATAGATATAGATATAGATATAGATATAGATATAGATATAGATATAGATATAGATATAGATATAGATATAGATATAACAGATATAGGTAAAGCAGATATTATATGTCGAATTTTAGGCTTCGTACACCCCGTCTATCTATCTAACTATACAAATGCGAAAACGGGACCAGATCCGATATTCATTTTAACTATAATGAGTGAGTGTGTATTATTCGCATTATCGTGTCAACTATGTAGTTTTGTGGGCCAATTTTGACACTTGATTAATGTCTATGTGAGTGCTATATACTCTATATGTGCATATATATAATATATATGGGTCGGAATATGGAGCGCAAAGTAAAACAAAGGATCTTTAGTTAGATCACATAGCAAGTGTGTGTGTTTGTTTGTTTGTTTGTTTGTTTGCCACAGCTCGTTGTTCTTCAAGCTGAAAGAAAGACAAATAAAGTGAGAGTGAGAGGGAGGGAGAGCGAAGGATGGATTGCGCGATAGGGAGAGAGAGAGAGAGAGAGGCAGAGGGAGAGGGAGACGTAGAGAGGGGCAAGCATATGCGTAAAATACTTTGACCTAGATTTCAAATGGTTTCTTATATTTTTTATTTATTTACTTTTTTTTTTTTTCTTGTTTTTCGGTATCTCTCTCGGGAAAGAAAATAATATGTATTTCATTTTTGGGCGGCATGCCCTACGCGGGGCATATCCGCACGCGGGCAGCGCTTGACGTAGGCGTGGCAGCGTGTAGGGCGTGCGGCGGGCGCTGCGGCCGCGAGTTAATTTCGAGCGTGTTTGTTGTTGCTGTTGTTGCTGTTGTTGTTGTTGTTGTTGCTTTATGCCGGGTGCGTGGAATATGAACAAATACACAAAAGCAGCGAGCGAGAGAAAGAGAGAGTGCGAGTGTGAGTGAGAGCGAGAGCGAGAGCGAGAGAGAGGCAAACAAATTGTTAACAAAAAAAAATTCTGTTTAAAATGTTGTTGGCTTTTGTTGCCGTTGTTGCTGTTGTTTTAGCAGCCGAAGAAAGCCACAGAAGAAAGCAGCAAACGAGTGAGAATGATCCAGAGGAGAAAGTGAACGACTAATCGTATACCCTATACCTAGTTCTTAAGAAAGTTGCAGCATAAGATAGCTGTAAGAGCTACCCTCTAATAGGCCCAAAAAGAAGTCAACTTGCAGATGCTCTCTAGAGCGTACGACTAGAGGGATACCCTGTAGACGGGCGTGGAAATGACGACTAAGCGATACCCTGTAAACAAGTATGCATGCGCCAGACGAGTGTGCTCGACACGCAAAGCTCTTAACTAATCCAAACTTGTATTTCGAGCGCATTGCAATGCTCTCTGTTAAAGTAAACGAGCCACAGATACCCTGTAAGCAACTCGACTGTCTGTAAATGATATAGAATGTATCCACTAATTATATACGATCTATAGGAATATGCTAGAGGATCAGTTGAGTCTACTTACTTTTCCAATAATTGCAGGGTATTTTCGTTTCGATCAAATAGTCAGACAATGGGAATATACATACATATGTCAAGCACATATTGCCGTATGCTAGAGGATCAGTCGAGTCTGTTTTCGTCTCTCATAATTCCAGGGTATTCCAAAAGAAAAAAAAAACTTGAACTCGATGACTGCCGCCGATAAGATAAATACTTACCGAAACGAAAAAAAAGAAAGAAAGAAGAAAATCTAAATAAAAAATAGCATAGAATAACAAAAACAACAGCAACAAAAATTCTTTTCCTCTATTTCGAAACGTTGACGATGACGATGGCGACCTACTTGTTGGATGTGTGGGCGTGCCATGCGAGGGTGGCGGGCCACCATAGAAGGGGGAATCCGCTGATGAGCGGGAGGGGGGAGGGGGGAGGGGGAGGTTGGGTGTGCGCATTGTGATACATTCGCGGGGTATACGCATGTTGGGGTAGGGGCTGCCCGGAACAGTCGCGTTCTTTGTGCTTGCGACTCAGCTGTTGTTGTTGTTGTTGTTGTTGTTGTCGTTGTTGTTGTTGTTGTTGTTGTTGTTGTTTATTGTTCGAATATGATTGTAAACAAAAATAAACCTTCAACTTGATACGCGTCCAGGGATGTGTTGAAGGTGCACACACACACACACACACACATGCACAGATAACACGCATTTTTTTTATGCCGATCGTTGGGTGTTGGGGGGTAGAGGGAGAGGGAGAGGGAGAGGGAACGGTGGGCGGCGGGCGGCGGGCGGTGTCTGCTTCTTATACGCGGCGTAGATCGTTTGAGTACATTTATGCTTACCTTTTGATTATTATCGCTGCCCGTTGTTTATCTCTCTTTTTGTACTTTCTTTGCCGTGCCGTCTCTCTCTCTCTCTCTCTCTCTCTCGCTTCTTTGGGCGTGCATGTGTGTGTGTGTGTGTGTGTGTGTGTGTGTATATAGGTCACTAGCAAACATAAATAACGCCCTACACATGTGCCCCAAGCTCATACACTGCACAAAATTAACCCGGCTAAACTAGCTGCAGATATATATGAATATATACATATATACCCCTTTGTAAGCTTTATATATACATATATATATATACATATATAAATATGTTATTGAAATATCATCGAAAACTATTTAGATTTGCTTTCGTTTTATAGGGAAAGTTTGGACATATCTTAATAGTTTAATAACAATTATGATTCAAATCTCAATGTTAACATATAACTTATATTCCTTGAGTAGTGTAACAATAACGATTTTTTCCCCCTCTATAAATGAGCTCAGTTTTTTTTTTGAAAGTTTCAAAACGCATCTCTATTCCTTAAAACATCTGACTTGGTTCTGTTTTAGAGCTGACTACGTCATATGATAAAATACATTATGATTATTTGTAGCACAGTTACACAAATAGTTGAAAGTATATAATAGTAAAATAGCAGTCTCATATTTATATAGTTTCCCACCTTATAAGTGGCTTTGTACCCAACGAACTCGGGAACTGTCCGAGCAAATGTCGGTAAATTTGCCATGTGGCACTAATGTGTAAAACACAGCTTAAATATATTGGGATATTCAGATATACGAGCCCGAGCACAAGAGAATCTAGTACATATATTAATGATATGTGATATGTGATATATATTTATTATTGCATTTATGTGTTGGCATTAAGCTAGCTGTGATTAGCTTCAGATAAGATCTATAACACTTTGTTTCTCCCTTATTATATATTTGCTGCACTTCCTTCAAAGGTTTCTCTCAGTGTAGGCAAGTGGCTTGCATATCGTTTGAGGTGTTTTTCGTTGATTTGCGATAAGTCGATGTATTCAAGGGGCGCATACTGTGCCGCACACCTTTCTGACATTAGCTGCCAGTTGCCCACCCACACACACACACACACACACAATCATAATTTCAAGTTCTTGGCCCAGCGCCCGTCGCCTGTCAATGCTGAGATGAGGATGATGTTCCCTGCTTGGACACCAGACGGGGCGCTGGGTTGGGGGGGAGGAACAAGATCTTTGCCGATTGCACATTGTTGTTGTTGTTGTTGTTGTTGTTGCTGCTGCTGCTCCTGCCACTGGCTGCTGTCATTTAGTGTGCCGACTGTCGACGCAACTGTCAAAATTGACCTAAAAAAAATGAAGAAAAGCCAAATGAGAATTCGAATTCGAATTTGGAAAAGCGCAACAGCAGCAACAACAACAACAACAACAAGAAGAAGAAGAGCGAGAACTCGAACATAGTGTAACTTGATAGCTGTCAGCTTTACCTGCCCCTGCCCCTGCCCCTGTCGCTGCCGCTGCCGCTGCCCCTCTCCCATCTAGAAATCGGAGATAAGAATATGGAATATGGAACAGCTCGCAGCCAAATGGTCACCCAAATTCGTGGCATAACAAATATTTCCCAGCCCAGATCGAATATCGAACAACAACAACAAAAAAGAGATCTTATGCAATGATCGACTAGATATTGACTAGAGGCTATACATATGTATATGGTTATATAGATTACAGATCGGAGACAATTGACAAATGACAAATCTGGCTGGTCGGCTGGTATTCAGCTAAAAGCTAACATATACTTTATAGACTATACAATTTTAATCCATAAATTGCTCAATTATTATTATATTTATTTTGTTTGTTTCAAGTAATTCATGTAAAGTTTCTATTCCATTCTGTTCTTATGTATTTCAGTTCATAGAGGGAATGACGCAGGCATTTCTTTTGCAGCGTTGGACTTTCGTTTTATAAGGTCAGTAAAGTTACAGAATTAAGTACAATTTGTTGCATCTGTTTAGTACTACTTATTAGTTCAAAATAAAAGTTTTGCCCATATATTTCGCGAGCTGTCTCAAATCTTAAGGTTAAAGAGACTGTTTAACGCCCATTGAAAAGGACTCTCATCTTAAGAGGACCTAGGAAGTTATATTGTGATATATATATTTATAGCAGATAAACAGTTTTACAAGACTTTAGCTCGAAATTGAATGCTTGAACTTAGTTTAGTTAGTTTAATTAGTTAGCTTCAATTGTACATAACATATATATATATATATATACCAAATTTGCCAGTTCTAACTCTTCCAGTTCCTGAGATCAATGTGGATAAATATGTTTAAAGTTGGGTTTTTTCTATTTTCGCCCAGAATCTATTGAAATATATATATATATATATATATATATATATATTCATGGTCGGAACGAAAAAAAGCTGAGTCGATTCGGCCAGATCAATATATATATATTGTAGTATTTCTATACGCAGAAGAAGCTTGTCATACTTTTTCGATATCATTGCCCATTCCCAACGATAAATATCGATTCAGTGACATGATTTCTTACGCTTAACTCGGGGAATATATCGATTATATCGATAGGGACATGATCTCCTACGCTTAACTCGGAGAATATATCGATAGGGACATGATCTCCTACGCATAGCTCGAGGAATATATCGATTATATCGATAGTGACTTGACTTCTTACGCTTAGCTCGAGGAATATATCGATTATATCGATAGGAACATGGTCTCCTTCTCATAGCTCGAGGAATATATCGATTATATCGATAGTGACTTGACTTCTTACGCTTAGCCCGGGGAATATATCGATTATATCGATAGGAACATGGTCTCCTTCGCATAGCTCGAGGATTATAGGAGCTAGAGACGCCAAACTTGGTACGTGTGTTTCTTGTGTAGCTATACAATATTATACATATATGTTCATATGTATATTATAAAGCTTAGAAGTATTGCGCTTTGTTTTGAATATCTCTCCCCATTTCGCCGAAAATTTCTTTTGGGAATTATTGAAAATTTCTCTATTCAACTAAATGTGAAAACAATTCATAGAAATTTTCGCTGTTATTAGCTAAAGTGCACTGTGTACACTGCACTTCCGATGCTTAGGCTTCACTGTACTTCGTTGTTGTTAATGTTGTTGATGTTTTTTTTTTCCCCCCATATACATGGAACATGTATAAGCAATAATATTTATGTATATGCTATGTGTCAGCGGCTCGTCGTACCTCGATGTGTACAAATATCTATGACCCAGAAATATTACGCGAATGCCTCACAAAAACAAAAATAATAACAACTGCAATAACAACAACAACAACAACAACCGCAACAACAACAACAACAACAACAACAACCATCAAGTGTCAGCATTTTGCACTTTACCACCAAATTCGCAAAAACACTTTGCGGCTCCCGCCCGCTCTCTCTCTCTCTCTCTCTCTCTCCCTCTCACCCGCTCTCTTTCTCACTCGCACTCCCTCACACTAGCTCTGTCTCGCTTTCGCTCACGCACTCAAACTTCAGTTTGAATTTCGTTTTCGATTTGCTTATGGGCTGCTACCCGCACCCCTGCTCAACACACATACACACACACACACACACACCCCGCCCCGCCCCCCTCCCTTCATGCGCCCCTCTCCGGCCGCAACTCTTCGCACTTCTGTGCTTTGATGCTTTTCCACTTGACATTCGTTTAGAGCCACGAAATGGCCCAAAAGGCAATTTTGAACGCATTTGGGCAACAACAACAACAACAACAACAACAACAATAACGGCAAACGCGAATGTGCCGTTAAGACAGCACTCAATAGTTTTCTTGTTGTTGTTGTTGTTGTTGCTGTTGTTGTTGTTGTTTTCTACCACATTCTACAAAGCGGCGTCGCGACCTGCCTCGACACACACACACACACACACACACACACACATATACACGCACATACACCCCACCGCCCGTTTAGCCCGTCGGCGTCTGTCGCAATACGTGGCGTATACGTAATCTTGTTGTTTTTGCAGTCGTCGTCGTTGTTGTTGTTGTTGTTCTGCCTTGTATTGTTGTTGTTGCTGCTGTTGTTGTTGTTGTTGTTGCTGTTGTTGTTCAGCTGGTGCTGCTTGGGGGCTTTTTATGCAAATGGCGTTCAAGGATTTTTGTGTGAAAGTTGTTGAACCTCATGACTGGCAATTAGAGTGCAACTGCAACTTGTGCGCATTTTTATAGAGTATGCAAATAATTCTATTATCTCTCCATCCCTCACCCTCTCCCTCTCCCACTCCCTCTCCCTGTCTCTCCCACTCTCGAACAGACGCGCTCTCAGTTAATAATAGATCTAATTAGACAAGAACAACAAATATTTGTCAACACAACATTTTGTTGCGACAAATTCGAGCTGAGTTCCAGGATATTTTTGTTTGCCTAATTTTCATTAATTTTTACAAGAAAAGAAACTTTCGCAAATAGTTGCAAATGTGAAGTTTTATAGGCTTTAACGGAAATAGTTTCCGGAAAGGGAAACAACATTTCATGTCCACAAATAAATATATTCATACATATCTACATATATATATTTTATATTAACAAATACCTGAATATTCTTAAATATAAGTTAGATTTAAACAAATCGAATTGAGCGAAAGCCAAGCTGAAAAGGCTTAAAAAGAGATTAAACAATTATATGGAGAAAAAGAATGTTAAATATAGAGAAAGTTAATAAAAATAAAAAAAAAGTTAAATATAGAGAAATATAGATAAATTAAAAAAATAAAGAGAATAATTAAATAAAGAGAAAGTTAATAAAAATTATAATAATAATAATAATAATAATAATAATAATAATAATAATAATAACAATAATAATAATAATAATAATAATAATAACAATAATAATAATAATAATAATAATAATAATAATAATAATAATAATAATAATAATAATAATAATAATAATAATAATAATAATAATAATAACAATAATAATAATAATAATAATAATAATAATAATAATAATAATAATAATAATAATAATAATAATAATAATAATTATGGTTAAATGTAGAGAAAGATAGATACACAATAATTAGAATTAAAAGATAATAATAATAGAAAAGGATGGATAAATATTTTAACAGTTAAATGAAACACAAACTACAAAGATATTTATCAAAGCAAAGTTAAATTTGTAGATAAATTTGCAGAACGAATTATAGAAACAAATTTTAGTTAAAATATAACACATATATATGACAAACTTTAACAAGAGCACAAAAATAATTGAAATAATACGACAATAATATTAATAAATATTTCTTGAAACTCATAACGATCCATTTCGAGCGATTAAACGCAATATTTCCGATATTATTAATATATATATTATCAAAATAAAATTTGTATCCATATAAGATGGATAAAGAATACAGATTTTAGAGAAATAAATCTTTATTCACGTAGGATAGATAATGAATAAAGATTTAAGAATATAGATAAAGTATATCTTTGTCTATATTTGAACATAAGATCTATATTCATATAAGATGGATATTAGATTTTAGAATGTTATTTTATGAAGATAATCTTCATATATAGTTGAACATAAGATCTGAATTATGTATCTACATATATATAGAGAATATCTTTGTCATCTATATTCATATGAGATGGATATAGATTCAAGATTTTAGAACATAGATAAGGAGCTTCTTTATCTACTCTTTCTACATCTTAACAAGTTATCTACATAGACATGGGATAGATAATGAATTTCGATTTTAAAATAGATATAAAATTAAATCTTTCTCCATATAAGATATCTTTTGATATAAAATATATATAGATAAGAATATACCTTCATATAAATCTCAACAAGAAATCTATATTCACAATATATATATATATATATATATATGTATATACAATATATTTAAAGAATATCAGAAATATCGAAAATTGGAATATCCAGGAATATTTACTAGTATTATTTTTACATGATTTCTATTATTAAGGAGACAAAAAGAAAAGTTAAAAGAAAAGAGAAACGCAGTTGATTGAATCAGTTCCTGATTTTGAGAGCCAGAAGCATCTTTTCTTCTGCTTAAAACAACTTTTCCCAAAATCCCAAGTTCTGAAATGCTAGATCCTAAAGTTTATAGGTGTTATATGTGTTTGTTTCTATTATAAAATTGAAAATTGAATCTAAAAAAATAGGATTTTAGCTTTGACAAAGCGAATTCGAGTTTTGTGCAAAAGTGAAAACCAAATATTGCGAGAAGTTTCGAATTTTTGTTGGCCATGTTGCATGCTGCATGCGTGTGTGTGTGTGTGTGTGTGTGTGTGTATCTATGACAACAAATAGGTGTCAAACAACAAAAGCATCAACAACAACAACAACAACAATAAGAGTAAAAAGCTGGCTCAATTGGCTCGGATCACAGGCGACTTCTGGGCAAGCATAGAAACACACACACACACCGTTACATATGTGTATGCGTGTGTGTGTGTGTGTGTGTGTATGTGAGTATTTCCAATATCATCCAAGGATATTTCGGCTGCACTAAGTCCACATGACCTTCCAAAGTTGGTTGACTCGCGGCCAACACAGAAAGAAACATAGAAAGAGATAGAGAGAGACAGAGAGAGAGAGAGCGAGGAGGATAGAGAGTGGTGGGAGGGGGGCAGAGATGACGGCAACTTTTGATTAAGCAACAGAGCACTGCAAATGTTGACAAGTGTCGGGTCAGTGGGAGCTTTGGGCAGCGCGGGTGATGTGACGTCGAGGGCAGAGCAGAGTCTGTGATGCAAGCAGCGCAGCGCAGACCAGACCAGACCAGACCAGAGCAGAGCAGAGGAGAGCAGCACAACGCGAGAGAGCCAAAGCTGAACGACAGCGTGAGAGAGCGTGTGCAGCCCGTTGAGAGAGCGCTGTTGCAGAGCTGTGCACTTGACGAAGCCGTTAGAAGCCAACGGACAAGAGCCAAGAGCAAATGGCAAATGGCAGTTAGCAAAATTGCAACTGCAGCAGCAACAACAGCAACAACAGCAGCAGCAGCAGCAGCGTTAGCAGCAGCGGTAGCAGCGGTAGCAGCTTTTGGGGGCCTAAGGAAAACCCCACGCGCGTTGTCGTTGTTGTCGCCGCTGCTCGGGTTCTGCTCTCGGTTTTCGGTTTCTGTTTCTGTTTTCGGTTTCTGTTTCTGTTTCGGTTCGGTTCGCTGTCGTCGCTGCAAGCGTTTGACAATTTCGCTGCCCGTCGCTGCTGGTTGCTGGGCTGCCAGTTGCACATTTCCGTTATATCCGCCAGACCGCCGTGCAGCAACAGCAGCAGCAGTCGGAGCAGTCAGCGCTTTGACCAATATTCGTACAGTGCGTGGCAACAACAATAGCAATACGAAAAACCAAAAATAAGCGAAACAAAAAAAAAATGAAGTTAATAACTTGAACAACTTCTACTTAAAGCACTTGTAACACTGCAACAACAACAACAACAACAACAATTGCAACGGCAAGTCATTTTCGCATACGCTCGCGCTGCTGCTGACTGCGCAGCTGACGCCAGCGTTGGCGTTGTCGTTGGCGTTGTCGTTGACTTTGTTTTGGCTTCAAGTGCTTCAGAGCTGCAGCAGCCTCTTGCGAGCAGACCGCAGACTGCAGACGGCAGCGGCGGTAGCGCACTGACTTCAGTCGCTTTGTGGCTCGAACGTAGTCAGCGCGCGCATGTTAACAAAAAAAAAATAAGAAACAGCTAAATATATGCATATTAAAAGCCCAAACTACAGACTCCGATTTTTGTTCAAGTGTAGAGTGTGTGCCAAAGTGTTAACTATAGCAAGGCAATAGCAAGTGTAATTGCGAAACAGCAAGAAGAGAAACAAACGAAAAAAGGATCAAAATCACAGCAGCAACAACAACAGCAGACACAGCAGCAGCAGCAGCAGCAGCAGCAGCAGAGACAAAACGCCTACAACTATGCCTGGCCCGGCGCTGTGGTCCGGTGAGTAGCATCGGCGATCGCACCCACTCCGAAACATATGCGAACGCCACAAAGCTCGCTCAAATGCGCGCACGCTCTCTTTGACGCAGCGGGCGCTCTCTCTCTCTCCCTCTCTCCCTCTCTCTTTCTCTCTGGCAGTTGCATATTTCCGCATGCCATCTCGTTTAGTTAGGCGGGCATGCGTGCTTGCTGGGCTGGCGCGCTCTCTGTCTTGCTTGTACGCCCGCCGACGATCGGTGTCATGGACAAGGAAAGAACCCAACAACTTTCACTTGCGCCACAGCAGCCTGTCAGCTGGCCAAGCCGCAGAGAGCGGCTTAAGCCAGAGAGTCGTGTGTAGCTGAGAGTGCAGCAGCAGAGAGCGCAATTAAGCGGAGCTTAGGCGGCTTTAAGCTTCCTGCGTTACAAGTTACAAGCTAATACAATAACAACGACAACGACAGCCACTACAACAACAACAATAACAAGAGCAAATGCAGCAGTTGACTTGACACGTTTGCTTTGCTCGCATTTTCTTGTTGTTGTCGTTGCTATTGCTCATTATAAAGTCGTAAGCCATGTGTGTGTGTGTGTGTGTGTGTGTGTGTGTGTGTGTGTGTGTAAAGCAAAATGTCAGTGAGCAATAAGGAAATGAAATGTGCGCCAAACAATTACATATTGAATTTGTTGCTGTTGTTGTTGTTGCTATTGTTGCTGCTAACAGCGTGCAATGTATTTGAAATCGAAAGTGCTCGAGACAATGGTCAACGAACGAGCGAGCAAGCGAGAAGGCAGCATTGAAGCCAGCATCTGGCAGGGCTGTAAAGCAGGGGGGCGGCGCGCTGTTTGTGTGTGTGTGTGTGTGTGTTTGTGCGAACAAATGTAAGCGACATATTAAATCGCAAATGCTAGCAATACGT